CTTCGTGATCTCTTACACAGGGAGTATTTCTGGACTAATGGCAAGGATCAATTCAATCTGAGCCAAGACCTTTCCTCTGCCTGCTTTTGTTTTCCTGTTCATTTCTCATTTCATAGGGTTAGGAAGGTGGATTTTTCTCACTGAAAAAAAAAAAACCACTTAGCCCAGAAGTCCCAGTGCTTTTGGATAATGGGGATTCTTTGGAAAGGATATCACTACTTTTCCTTCTAAATACTAATAAAAGAAAGGTTTTAAAGAGCCATATACAGTATGTTATATTTAGAAATCTCTCTTGATTGCATAACCACTTGGTCACTCATGCCCTGGGCTTCTCCCACATGGACTATTACAATGCACTCTACGTGGGGCTACCCTTGAGAAGTATCTGGAAGCTGCAGCTGGTACAGAATGCAGTGGCACAGGCAGTTTTGGGCAACCCTAGGGTTGTGCATGTAACACCTCTGCTGCGTGAACCGCATTGGGTGCCTGTTTGCTTCTGGGTCCAATTCAAGATGTTGGTTATGACCTTTAAAGCCATTTACGGCATGACCCCAGGTTACCTGAGGAACTGCCTCACCCTGCTTACATTGGCCTGTCCCACCCGGTCCGGGAGGAAGGGCATGTTGCAGACCCCATTGGTTAGAGAATTTCAACTGGCGGTGTCTAGGAGGAGAACCTTTTCTGCCATCACCCCCGCCCTGTGGAATATCTTGCCCCCCGAGGTGAGATTGGCCCCCAGTCTTCTGACCTTCTGGAATAGCCTTAAGACCTGGCTCTGCCACCTAGCTTGGGGATCCAATGGGGGCTCCCAACATTGGAGATGGCTGGCGCCTTGAGGATGCTCTCTCCATCTTTTAACTTTGTCTGTAGTCTTTTAATGTGTTCTGTAGTTTTTAAATGTTTTTATGTTTTTTACTTGTGAGCCACCTAGAGTCACTGATAGTGAGATGGGTGGCGTATACATTTGATTTATAAATAAATAACAAATTTGTGTGTGTAAGGTGGTAGCTTAAAAACACCACTGCCCTGGAGACATTTGATTTGTTATGCTGCACAAGGTCTCCAAGCTGATATGGTTCTCCACTAACAGAAGACAGCTGGCATATGAGGTCCGAATTCCGCTTGACGCACAAAGTCATTTTACGATATAGAAATAGTGGTGACATAGTGTGGATAGGATTTGGAAAGGGATCTTGCCTTTCTACAAGTCCAAGAATTCTTGTTCATACCACAATTCTGCATGTCCAAAGAATTCTAGCTCAGTGAAATGTGGATGATCCCAACTGACTACATTCAGTCTGGGAAAACTAAATTCTATGTAATGCACCCTAATTTATTAATAAGGGTTGATCCTATAAGTAAACATGCATAATATTCAGGTGCCTTTCAAAACACTTGCCCTACTCACTATTCAGATGAGACATAATGTCCTATTTCACAGATCTTATGTATAATCAGAATTGGCGTATCTTGCAGAGGATAACTGTATGATGGATTAAAAACATGCTTCCCAAAACTCTTTTCTTATGAAAAATAGGGATACTTTGAAAAGGAAAAATAACATGTAATCATAAAATGTAATCACTACTGCTAAATTGTTCAATGGTAATATGTACCTAATGGTTATACCTCATCCCTTCTTTTCCATGCTGTTTGCCTACAGGATATATTAATTTTAGTATAATTAATATATACATTGTTTGTGCATTTTCTCTTACACTTCTCTTCAAACACATACTAGTTGTGAAGCTGCATAAAATGCTAGTTATTAAATACTTCAAAACCACTTTTGTACTGCTTTTTAAAAGAAAATCTCTTAAGTCATTTACTGGTTTGAATAATATGTGCATTTGAGATGGTATGAGTATTTGAGTTTCTCCAAATTAGGTCTAAATCACAAGTCTGATACATAGTTGACAACTGAGAATCTCTGAAAACTCCAGTGCAACAAATAGTTTAAGTGCAAATGTTAGAATTTTATTTCTTATCAAGTTCGTTTCTGAGCCGGGATCAAAGAGACAACAGGCAGTTGCATGAATTAAGTTCTTTATTCTTCATCCAAAAGTGATGACAGGAAGCTGCGCAGGACCCTCCCCCTACAGCACATTATATACATTCCATTCAGCCCCTCCTGTAGAATAGCACCTCTTACTCCAGTGCTTCTCAACCTTGGCCGTTTTAAGTGTGGACTTCAATTCCCAGAATTCCCCAGCCAGCCATGCTGGCTGGGGAATTCTGGGA